CGGCCGCGCAGTTTGCATTAAAAGCCAGGGACGGGCGATTAGGCACCTAGGCCGGGAATTTTGATTGCCCCAGAATTAAAAGATGCGTCCTGCAAATCAGTGGCAAGACCAGGTGAATTGCGTTTTCGTATTTTCTTTGTAGACCTGCCTTTTTTTTTTAATTATTTCGTCTTGTTAAAAGCAGCAGTAATAACAAAAACATATTTTGCTGCCTCTGCCTGCACCAGGAGCCAAATGTTTTGTAATGAACACGGTGCCAGCCGTATTTCATACATTAGGATATAATTCTTGTTAATTAGCAATAATTTACATTAAGAGCATAGAAAATGTTGAGGTTACAGGTTTTATATCTGTACATTTGATCATCTTGTTATTTTCAAGAACTTTGCCTCCTATAAAATTAATTAGGTGAAATGTGGAGGTGTAATCAGCAACCTCTGAATTACCACTTCATTTCCTGGTTTTGATTGTAAATCAGCCCAGTCAGTACAGACTTTAGCAAAGTCTATTTTTGTTTAGTGCTACTTTTAACCGTCTGGTGTCTAAGCGCTGTGTTACCTTCCACTGCTAAATAATCCTGACGGTGTCAGAAATAAATCAGGGCACGGGAAAATATTCTAATTGAGTAATGACTATGCAGACTTCCACGCTGAGTGAGCTGTAAGGGGAATGTCGTTTCTTTTGCATCTTTGGCTGTGGAGAGTTTGTAAACCGCAAGGCAGATTTACCCGTCAGCCCAGAATACCTTTGTCTGATGCGTGTAGCCAGCTCCTGGTGGGATCAGTTCGGTAATAATTTACTCACTGTGACCAAACGCAAGGAAGGGCTACGGAGAAAAATGACATGCACAGAAGTGCTGCAGAAACATCCTGCTCTTTCCTCTGTACCGCGGGAGTGCGAACGCGTGTTGTGTACTATCGTTTGGTCTGGAAGTTGAGAAGAAAACCCCAGTGATTAAGATATTGTTTTTATTAATATGAATGTAACCTTCATATTCCTGTGGTTGACCTTATGTTAAATTAGAAGTAGTACTAGAGGCAAGAAATTACGGACTGTATCCCTGTGTCCTAGTTGGAGCTAAGGTACGGCAAGGTAGTGTGCTCTTTCAATATTATTTTACGCAGCACAACTGGGAGCTACTCTAGATCTTCCTCCTCAATATGCAGCCTAGGTAGGGTTGAAATAAATTTAACCTGAGTTCACTGGATTTTTGCACTTTATCAAAATCACTTCCAATGTTGTGCAGTCAAATTAAAATCTATTTTTTGATTCTCTGTGGCTTTAAGTTCATTAAATGTGAAATTGGCAGCTAGCTAAAGAAGGTCAGACTGATTAACTGTTTAAGAGTTGTATGCTGCCTCGCCTGCCTTACCTGGCAGCGTTTTGGGGTGTTTTGTGTTTGTCGTACCCTCTCGGTTTTGTTGTTGTGGTTAGTGCACGTATTGCATTGCGCAGATACGGGAACACCGACACACTGTTTTTTTTTTTTTTTTTTTCTTGAAAGGCTGTAGTGGTGGATGTTGCACGCACAGTGCCAAGATATTTCTGCGCAAAGTTTAAAAAAAGCCCAGCAAACAGAAAAGACAGACATGTCTACCTTGTTAGAGCATCCGCTGAGGAGCGTGTGAGCAGAAATAGCCTCATAATGAAGCTTTTTGGAGCTCATTCAGAAAATTTGTCAACTTTGACAACATTAGGCAAGGTATTTTGAGTTTAAAGAAAGCACTTTTCACTCCTGTTATGAAATGTGGCATTCCCTTGGCCATGCTGATTTTCATATGGTGAAGGCCCCCGGTACTGACAATACAAGATAATTTAGGTGCTCCTTTTTCAGAAGGGAAAAAAAAAAAAGAAAAAAAAGACTGGTTGGCTTATGTTCTTAAGTGCTAAAAAAATATCCTGTTCAGTTAGTATCTCTGGGTGGAATTGCTCGTGAATTTGATGTTTGTGTGGATTCGGAGGAGCAGCTGGAAGTCAGCGGTTCCTCCCCGCCGGCCCTGCAGG